CATTTATAGTGTCTAAAGTATAATATCTCAATGTTAAAATTTATTAAATATATAGAGTTGTATCTTTAATATATCATAAAATATTCTTTATTAGCTTAACTGATGTTTCTCGTGTAATTTAAGTAGTAAGATATTTATAGAAAAAAACCAAAGCATTTTTATGTAAAACGTTAGAAAGAACTATATTTTTTTTTCTAAAATTACAAAAAAAGAAATAAAAAAGTGTTTGTCGACAAATTATATTAAGACTAATTTAAAAATATGCTTGTTTTTTAAATTCATTTAAATATAATATGATGCATTTTAATAAAAAATAGATTATATTATTATTCTTTTTTTCTTTTTGCAGTTGTACTTGATTTCAGTACCGTGAGCTTAAGAACCAGACCGTCTCTTTTTATCTGAAGTTCATGGCCTCTAATAGCCATGTGGGATAGTAATTCGTTATAATCGTAGTAATTCATAGGATTCGTAATAATTCGTGTGGGATAACAACAGATATAATTCATTTTCATGTGAATTTGCATCGAAAGAGGATGCTGTCGTCACCATCTTGATGTACATTCAATGAGATAGGGAAATGAAAAATCATTGGTCATAACTCTATTTATAATTAATCTACTTACGCTCATTTTGTAATTAAGAGTTGTGCGTACATTTTAAGATATCCGACTGGCTTAAAATCATCATTTTCATCAAAAAAATCGAAATTTATTTTGTAGCCCATTTTTGTAGCCTGTTTAATAAGCTTTCTAAAAATGTTGTACTTTAAATTCTGAGTCAATTAGAAAAAAAGTTATAGCTGTTTTTATTTGAGGTAGTAAGCCCAAATCGAAACCGGAAGTGTGAGTCTTCGGTTGATTTTCACCGGCAAAATGAGATTTTTATTCATTTAAAATATTTTAACGAATTCTTTTTATGTTTAGTAAACTTTATTTCACTTTATAAATTTTTTTAATAGGTATATTTTGCTTCAAAATAGGCAACGGTTAACTGATTGCAATGTTTGCGTTGATTTAAAAGAGTTGCTATCTTTTTATCATTTGTGTTCAAAATTAGATCTCTTTATAACTTTTTTATTAGTACTTTTATATAGAGTTATAGTTATTTTTAATTAACTATATAAATTAAAGTTGACATGCAAAAAATAAGAACAATGAGGCCAAAAAAGAAGAGATTTCCAGAGAGCAGAATTTGTTGGAGAAACTTTGAAAGAAAAATCAACGGATCTTCCAAATTCAGCTATTAATTCTATTAAAAAGACTTCTAAGGAACTTTGCGATCAAAATCTTCTAAGAAAATGGCTTCACGGGAAAGCTCAGAACTGCAATGAAAGTCTTAACAATGTCGTGTGGAGTATAATTCCGAAAGACAACTTTGTTGAGCTACAAACACTCCGTTTAAGGAATTATATCGCAATAATACTTTTCAATTCTATATTTGCTGGTCTATTACCTCTACTTCAAAAATTAGGAA